AGGGTCTTCATGTCGACCTCCATGACGAGCGCTAGGAAGTCTACCGGACGAAGAAGTTTAGGGCCTATTTGGATGGCACTATTTTCAAAGACTATACTACCATAAAATTGTGGCTTTACAAATCAAAAAGACACAAAACTGTGAAAAGAGGTCAAGAGTCTAAATTATTACCATCAAGTATCGCTTATGTCCAGATAACCTCTAAACTAACGTTTGGTTCCGTTTAATCCCTTTAACTATTTCAATCAGTTCAATTTACTCATTAACAAGATTTGTCTTTTTCATTTCTCTACGTACAAGTTGAATTTTACTTAAAATGTGTGAGGCGACTGTGGACAACATATAGTATTTTTAAAAATATATTATGAATTTTATATCATCATGTTTAATACTTTTTTCTTTTTCTAGCATTAATGTATTATTATAAATCCTAACCTACCAAAATAATGATATAAATTATGACATATTTTTTAAACACAAATTATGGTGCTAGATATCCCCTCAAAGTTTAAAATCAAAATTCAGCTTGAACATGGAGAAACAAAATAGACAAATCTTGTCTAGGTGTAAATTGAATCCACTGAAATAATTGAGGAGAGTAAACCAAACCAAGCCAAACAATAGTACAAGGATTATCTGTAGGTAGGCTATACTTGAGGGTTGTCTTTTGGAGTTTTCCTAAATCAAACTCTATGTTTTTAGCAAAACCAAGGTTTTAGACACTACAACATTTGTTACTCCCTCCGTCCCAAACTGCACGTCTCGCACTTGAAGGGGTTAAACAATCTTAAATTTGACTAGATTCACATAAAATGGTTGTATCTCTAAATAGGATTAGTATGAAGACATATGTTCCTATTAATCTAATTATGATTATTTGATATTATAAATCTTAGTATTTTTTATATAAATTTAGTCAAACTTAAAATTGTTTGACTCCTTAAATTGTGAGATGTGCACTTATTTTAGGACGAGTGAGTATATCCCAACAACAGTAGCTTTTGAAGTACTTTGCATTCAAACCGGCCCTTACTAATTTCGACTAACTGCAAAATTCCATGGGCTCTTGGCTGCTTGACTTTATTAACCAAAAAAAAAAAAAATGAAAGTAGCACCCACGTCAGAGGCTGTGACGGGTAGGTCCCACCTCGAAGCAGACCTGTGGACCGCATCCACATGGCGGCCGCCCAACCCTCCAAGCCCAGCCCCCTTCCATTTTCCACTGGCCGGCCATCCGCACCCCCGACCGCCACCGCAGATCCCCAATTCGTTTCCTCCCACCGAGCCAAGCGGCGACGACGGCGGTCGCGGCGCCCCTTCCCTCCCTCCGTACCGCCGCCACCGGTGAGTTCCGACGCTGAGACCTCTCCCTTTCCTGTGATTCGAGCGCTTCCCCTTACAGCCGTCGCGCCCCTGCTCCGCTTTGCTTCAGACGAGCAGATTGGGCCGAGCACCTCTCCGGCCAGCAGCGGCACCGTCGCCGGTGCCAGGTCCGGGGCCGCCGCGCCGTGGGGCTCGCTGAAACGGGTACACGTTCTGCCTCCGTTCACCCGTTTCTCGCTCCTTGTTGCTTGAGCTGGTAACAAAATTAACGGTTCAGTTTAGGCGCGGTGGATGTGCGAGCTTGCTAACCTGGAAGCAAACGTTATGAATTATATGATCGCCCTTGTGTACTTCCCTTCTTAATTGACTTCCATGCGTGCGTGCATGCCTCGTCTAATTCTAGTGTGCCAAATGTGATTCGTCTGTTCCATCCGGTGACTTGCTGAACGGAATCTGATCGTGGACCGCTGGATATATTTTTTTCCAATTGAACTGTATCAAGATTGATCTGTGGATAAGAAGACCTAGAAAAATTTAGGTGCACATGCTGCAACCATCAGGTGTTGTTAGCTACCTGCGCATTAGACGGAGGTTACAGAGCTAGAATGTGATTTACACATTAGCATGGATGGCATCCAGCAAGCCTTTTTTGCATAAGATGTCCTTTGGTGCTAATTTTTCATACGTACTCCCTCCATTCCAAATTATAAGACGTTTTGGCTTTTCTAGAACATAGCTTTTGTTATGCACTAAGTCTAGATACACAGTAAAAGCAATGTATCTAGAAAAGTCAAAGCATCTTATAATTTGGAATAGAGGAAGTAGTAATTAATAAAATTAGCTAACACATAGTGGAAAAGGGGGTCAAATTGCTATTGCCAATCTAGTACAGAAACCAGGAAAAACTATGTCCAGCATACATTATTACCCTGTTCAACCTCAACCGCTCTTCTAAGTAGTGTCCATAAGCTGTGTTTCTTTTTTTCTGAGAGGAGTGGTTGAATGCCCACATGTATTATGACCTACTTCATGTTGAGTTCTCCTAGAATGTTTATGACCTATGATTGTCAGCATGGAGTTCAATAGTTCTCCTAGAATGTTTATGACCTATGATTGTCAGCATGGAGTTCAAAAGGTTGTTTGGTTAATCAGATATATGCACTGATTTCTTTTCTAGCTGTGATTAGGCTACAACAACTTTTCAGTTTCAAATTAGAGTTTGTATTATTTTCACTGAACATCATATGTTTCCCCATGCCCGTGCAATAATCAGTTATACTGTACCAAGGAACATCTGAATGTAACCAAGTGTCTGAAAACCGTAACAGTTTAGCCAAGTAACTAAGCCTTGTCTGGCTAACATGACTGCCAAAACTTTTCACAATGCAGCCTTTCTCAGCTCAATATCTGGGTGTGGTTTCACATTATCCAGTCCTGGATATAAAAATTGGTTCTGTATCCTACTTATGTGTCTTTCTATTTCTTATTTATCAGTAATCAAAGAAGTTGGTTTCCGGTGTGAGCTTGATTGTTTTTCGCTATTACTAGGTTGCTTCAGAGAAAGAAATTCTAGGGTAGGTGGTTGTTGTTGTTGTCGTCATTTTCCTTATTGTGTGCACACTATGTTTGGTATTACCCCAATCTGCTTTGCATGCAGCAATGATCTTATTTTGTAGACAGGCTGAATATCTGCACGGACACAGTCCAAAAGCCTATATCTCCTGTATAAATTGTTTCAGGAAGCATTTTAGAGAACTGCAAACCATTGACACTTTTATCTGCTTATCAGATGAAAAGCATCCACTCTCTAATTTATTTCTCTGAAGCATTTTTACTTTCAAGTGTGTCGCTGCATACTTCAGTTCGTAATTTGAGTTGTGTTTTTTTTGGAGAAAAACATGAAACACCACATTACCACACTCCAGACTTTAAAAAAAGCTCAATTTTGTATATAGCTTCATAAGTTGTTTGTATTTGTTATGAGATCAACCACTTAAAAGCACTTGCTAATAGTTCAATCAATGCATATGCTATAGCAATAGTGGATTGTTGAATGATGTATGATAGGCTTGTTAGAAGAATTTCCTAAAGTATATCTTGTTATTTAAGAACGCTTAGTTGGATAGAAATCTTTTCGTTCACAAAATGGATGTACCTTTGTTATACAGGTCAAATTTTGTTGACCTGTTGGAAATGTTGTTTCGTAATTATAGTACTCAATTTAAAACCAACAGAAATGAAGGTTTAAAACAAAGTTCAGTATTATACCTGATAAAGGTGTATGTCATTGGCATGCACAGTTTCCCTAGAGAACTTCTTGGGTCTCTGTTCCTTTTGGGCTGCCTTTGAATGATTTTGGTGTAGCTATACAGTCTGGCCATATGTGAATTATGCACTAGTTAGGTGAGTTTAAGTCAACTGCACAATCTTTGTTTTACTCCTAAAAGTCGAAGCTAACCAAGAGGCTAAGACTTCATTAACTATTTTCTTCTTGTATGTGGTTTGAATGCTTTCCACTTGCTTATGTTCAGTTTTCTTTAAATGACATGAGAAAAAATGTGGCCCCATATCTTAGCCTGTTGTCTTATTCTTATATAGAGTATTACCATTACATTGTTCATTAAGTTAATATGTCTGCAAAGAGCACAATGTTTCTTTTGTACTATGTTTGGTTGAGTATCCTGTGCAGTCATGCTTTAATTTTTGTAAAACTTAGTGTTGAGCAGCAAAACTTGGCTATCTATAGTTCCTTCGCTTGCTCCAGCAGTTGCTTATCTAGCCTAGCCAAGCGATGTGTTGGTTAGATCTGAAGAGATTTGCTTTGAGTAATTGTTTCAGTTATCTATTCTATGATTTCAAAACAAAAGAAGCAAACAACTAGTGCCCCTAACATGTTTGCATCAGCCTCTCCTCATGTGGGCTAGTTGTTCCCTGCCTAGCAACACAAAGTGTGCAATAGATTCACATGACCCTTATGATTGTCACTCTATGCTGATCTGTGACTAGTTAGATGTTTGGTATTGATATAAAGGGGCGTACCCAGTGCAGAGAGCTCCCGCTCTGTGCGGGGTCTGGGGAAGGGTATCAGTGGCAAGCCTTACCCTCGCCTGTGCAATGCGAGGAGACCGCGACTCGAACCCGGGACCTTCCGGTCACAGGCGGTAAGACTACCGCTTGCACCAGGCCCGCCCTTCATGTTTGGTATTGATATCTCCTAAAAAATAGGTTTCTATTATGTGTCTTTGCTTTCCTATGCCTGTATATTTGTGATCTCTGAATAGTTATTTCTTTCTCTTGGCCTTTTTGAATGAGGGTGGTTTAGAGTAAAAGCGCTAGTTAGCTGTGTGCATTCTTGTATTTGTATGACACTTTGTAGTTTGCCTACTTCTTTTTCTGAAGAATGCTAATATTTCAAATGATCCCATTGCTACACACTCCCTTTGGTAATAGTATACACTTACACAGTGATCTTATTTGATCTTCCACCAACTTACATGCATCTTTCTAAGTTCTTATAGCTTTCTGTCTCCCCTCTTTCTAAAATGCCAACATCAGCTATACATTGTATTTTTTCTTATTATTGCCGTTGTTCTCTGTGGAAGCTCTGATACATGGTTCACTTGTTGTTTCAGGTCTACCCCCAAGTGAAATCAGGGTCTTCAAGATAGCTTACTGAGATGTGGGGTTTTGCATCAAACGCTTGGTCATCTGGGCTGGGGAAGAGGAGTCCCCCAAATTGCACTTCTTCGAGTGCTGCTTGTTCTGATGACGAAGCATCCTCTTGCACAAGCAGGGAAGAAGACCTGGAATGCCCAATATGTTGGGAGTCTTTCAACATAGTGGAGAATGTGCCTTATGTGCTATGGTGCGGCCACACCATGTGCAAGAACTGCATCCTAGGACTTCAATGGGCTGTCATCAAAGTTCCAACTGTGCCGATCCAGCTACCATTCTTCATTTGCTGTCCCTGGTGCAACCTCCTGTCACTTCGCATACTTTACAAAGGGAACCTCACATTCCCACGAAAGAACTATTTCCTCCTTTGGATGGTTGAGGGGATGAATGGCGAACGGGCCAGGTCACGCCCAGCTATTCATAGTGAGCAACAGACTCCATGGCTCTCAAGCAGCAGTAGAGCAAATGGAAATGCAGGCTATTCAAATCCCACTATACGCCACCTTCCGCCACCGGTTGACACGCCGCCCACTAATGCCAATCATGCCAACCATGGGGTCCCTCTGCTGAACGCAGAGAGGGTACAAGCTTCGCTGCGCAAGTCCTTGTCGTTCCTGGTTCACTTGACTGCCAAGTTTCCCCTGGTGTTCATCTTCCTCCTCATAGTGCTCTATGCTATCCCTGCCAGTGCAGCAGTCTTGTTATTGTATGTCCTTATCACTGTGTTGTTTGCACTTCCCTCGTTCCTGATACTGTATTTTGCGTACCCGAGCCTGGACTGGCTTGTTAGAGAAATCTTTGCCTGAGATTTCCTTGTCTGAGAAAATCTCAATGCTGTTGTTGGATCCGTGTAACTGAATTCTCCCTAGATTTTGTTGTAACTTGTAAGTATGAATGTTATTGCACATCATTGTGCTCTGTGCCGCTGGGCTGCTGGCTTATGTTTTGTTGCACAGGTGAGGTGCTCTGAGACTGAAGTTCAAGAGTATATGTTGGGTATCAGTAGATTAACTCTCGCTGGAGTGCTTGGAATGGGCAAGGAGTGTGGAGTATCTGAAAATATTTCCCTGAATTTAGCATGGTTTCTCCAAATATATTTGTGCCAAGCAGCCCAATCACTTTGTTGTCCTTAAAAGAGGGTAGTGACAGCAACTTCTGAATAAAATTACATTATAAAAACCGCTAAAAATGTGAACTTCATCCCTGCAAGTGCAAGGCTGCAACTGCAGACATGAACATCGCAATCACAGGACAAGAGGACCGCAACGAGCAGAGTGGCAGTGCCCGTGAAAGAAAACTAGCAGCGCACACTTGCTCGCTCTGTGGCATTATTAGATGCATGGGAGCAAGCAACTTGGCAAGCCGGGGAGCCAAGTGTGGTTGATCGCTTGGCCGCCGAGGCGTGACAAATGATAGCAGCAACCAGCAAGTGAGCTACCCAACTTGGCCGGCATGAGTATCTCAGCAAATATACTCTTGTCATCTGCATCCCAGTCCACACGCGTGCCATCGGCTTGGCATCTTGCTGGTCATCCTCGGCTTGCAACTTGGTGACCTCGACGCCCATGAACAAGGACGCAAGGCTGAAATCAAAAGGCAAATGTGGATCGTGACCTCCGTCCTGGACCGTCGGATCAAGAGCCAACGTCTAGGATTTCAGTTCGAAGCGACAGAACTGGCATTAGATGAAGATCGTGGGCGTTGTTTTCTGATCCAACACCTCCCAATGGAGCCAATGTGTGCTAGGAGGGCCATCCCAACACGTTGTAGTGTTGTACACTCGCTACCAGTCCCTAACGGTTCCACAATCTATAAAAGCAACAACTTGATACATGCTTGTCTCAAGGGCGAGCTTTGTTTATTTTCCAAGTGTTACTTGGACCGTCTACTCTCCAAAGATGTTGAAATTTGTTCTCCCTTTACAAGGTAGAGTACACTTCAGTCTTAACTGGACATTTGCATATTGGTCAGCTGGTCCATAGCAAGTGGTATCCGCTCACATCTAATCGCCAAGTTGCGAGCCTTTAAATCTTTAGAGTTTTTCTCTCTCTTTTGCTTATATTCAGAACTTTATTGAAAACAATTTTGCTATAATGTGGCCGATCAAAAATTAGTTTCCTCCCCTACACCGATTTTTTTTATCTTTTACGATTTTGTCCTTCCCTACTCCAACATCTTCCCCAATTCCGAGAAGCTAAGAGCAACTTCAAAAGCCTCTTTTTATCATTTTGTATTGATGTAAATATAGATTTTGGTGAAAAAAAACTCCAGCAGATTTTTTAATTAGATCTCCAAATGTTGTCGTCATCTATTCTGGATTTATCTCTAGCCAAAGGTAGAGATCGAGAATGATTCTCTAGAGTGTGTATAAGATATAGAGAAGCTGTTTGTCGGTATATGGGCCCGGGGTACCCTCACGACCATATATTTGGCCCGTCATTAGTCTGGCGGATGGAGGACGTCGAAGGATGAAGCCCACGAAGACAAGACGAATCCATTAGCTTGGAGATCACGCTCATCGAGGATATCTGGCGCCATCATATCGATGGTAGGATAGAATTGATCTGTTACGCCTTCCATGCAACAAACTAGCAATCCCATCGGTTAGCCGATCGCTCTCATCATTGTAACCCTACCCCCAAGCCTATATAAAGGAGGGTAGAGACCTCGTGATCGGGATCATTTTCATTCCCTTTCATCCCATCTACTATGTATCTAAGAGCAACAGCCCCTATAACCGAGCATATGAATACAAGAAGAGCAGCACCCCCGACTGGACTAGGGTTTTTATGTTACACAACGGCTTGAACCAGTATAAATCTTGTGTCTCGTGTGCTACCATCTAATTCCTCTTACGCGAAGCAGTTGCTAGGCATTGTCGGAGCTAAATCATTCGACAGTTGGCGCGCCAAGTAGGGGCAGTTTGCGTACAGACTAATATTGTGTTTCAGATGGGAATCAAATTCAACTTCGGCGACCTGGAATTCATCGCCGACTAGTTCTGGGACTTGTGGCTGCAAGAACCCAAGCCACCCGTGGAGGAGGAGCGGCCTCCCTGGGTCTGTGCATTCTTTGTCGGACTAGAGGAAGGTGTAGGCATGGGGCCATGCACTCTCGCCCGACACCTGAACCACTACGCCGCGATGTCTTCACCAAGATCGGTTGAGAACATGACCTCGACACTGCGCTTCGAATCTTGGAGAATCCAAACTGGGTCCCTAGATCGGATCTACCACCACTACCCGGCCACATTCTTCCCAATTTCTCGACCGGACTAAGGGATGCAGCGGCAACATACTCAAGCTGGCTTTAACAAGCCTTGGTGGAACCCATCGAACCTTGTACCGAGGAGAACCACGCCTACGATCCGGATTCTCCTAGACATCTGCGTGATCTCACCACCTGGTTCGTCGGGATGATCACCCACGGTGACGAGGAGATGACCGAAGCACCAGAAGAATGGGTTGACGTCGACCCAAATGTCAAGCAACCCATCGTCGATCTCGACGACTTTGATTATGATCAGTTCCTCCTCGATTACCAGGGGTCGAATGAAGAAAAGGGAAAGGAAGAGGACATCGAGCCCTCGAAGCAACGTGAGTGCTACATGAGCGTGCAAGATCCCAAGCCACCTCAAGAGGAACTCGAGAAACTTGCACTCGATTGTCCTACTCCCCTAGCGGACGATGCACCCACCCCCGATGCTTCTTATGAGACTAGCCACGAGGCCTCTATTAGAAAGATATGCTTGAGGCAGAGAACAACTTTGCCGGAAACTCGAGCAGCCTTCCGGCACACGGCGGCCTCAGGCAAGAAGCACTCACCCGATGAAAAGCCAAGACTTGGCTAATCACTCTCGGGGAACACCTAGGATACTCCAACATCCACCGAAGTTGGATGGGAAACAATCTCGATGGCTCGGGCACTAACCCTAGATCATGAGACTCCCGAGGCGAGCCACGCAACAGTCACATGTGATCGGTGGCATTGTCCCTCAGGGGCTAAGGGTCGGTCCATGGGAAGTTCGGGCATCCACCGACCCGAACACCGCTTGAGCCTGATCCATGGTCGGCTGAGAGGTGATCGGGACACACATTTGGTCATCGACGCGTGGCAAAGGGAGCGTTCCCCATGCGGCTCCTCCCTCCCTCCTCTCCGGCGGCGGCGGGTTCCAGCAGTGGCTTCTTCCCAACATGCCTGACACGCACGCGCTCCTCCCCACGTGGCTCCTCCCTCTGTCCCCTTTGGCAGCGGCGATGAGTTCTGGTGGCGGCAGCGATGGCGAGGTAGGTGGTTCCTCCTCCTGCATATTTGAGTTAGGGTTCCAAAAAGCTTCTCCTCTCACTCTCTCCCAACTTCGGCGAGCTTCTCCTCTCTCTCTCCCAACTTCGACGACCTTAGAAAAAGGAGGGGCCTCGAGGTGGTAGGTAGGCTAGGCGATGGGGACAGTGGCTAGGCGGTTCGGGGCCCTGGCGATGGTGGAGGCAGCGGGTCTAGATCGGGGCAGGGGAGTCGCGACCATTCACCGTAGTTGGAGAAGAAAGAGGCGGCGGGAGGGGGAGGGAAAGAGGGTCGCTGCCTCAGTAGGGTGGTGGGTGGCGGCGGAGGCAAGAGTTGGTCAGTGGACGCCATGGCGAGAAGTGGAAGATGAACAGTGCATCACCAGAAAGAAACAAAATTTTCAAGCACCTGGAATATAGCATCTGCCCTATTTTAGTAGTTCTTTCTATTCACATGTGGGGTGGGCAATGGTGTTTTTTCTATGTTGGTTGTATGTTTTTTGTGTGTTGGTTTGATCAGTTCACTTTTCTATGGTGAGATCTGTACCAACAAGATGTGTCCCTTCTCCCTCTGAGCCGACATGATGAAGAGGGATTCGACCAACATGTGGTGTAGGTGTTGTGCCCTAGATGCATGGGACACACTTGAAAATTATCTTGTCTACACAACCAAATCTCTACCTGAGCAACTAGGCTACATAGAGTAACCAAATCTCCACTTGAGCAACTAGGCTACATAGAGTCCGGTGGTTGTGATGCATTTAGGGGTGGTTGTGGATGGAACCCTAAGCCAGACAACTTTCACCAGGTAAGAAATCTGACCTCAAGCAACCAAAATCTATTGCCCGAGAATACTATGTCTAGCAGGAAAGTTTGCGCGATGTCAAACTAAACAAGTCCTTACACTAGAAATGACATTTGTATCTATTGAATGTTCACATTGGATGCGTGTGAGGCACCACGTATAACGCAAAACACGAGAAATTAATAGCTTTTACATATAGCCAATTTTTTACGTTCGACGGTTTGCAGCTTATTTACGCAAGCGATGCTTGCATCCGCCAAATGCCTACGTTGAATATGTGTCAAGTGAGTGCGTGTAGCACAAAACATGAGAAATAAATATGTTTCTAGCTTCCCCACAACGTGGTTCAAACACTTAAATAGTCAAGGAGCTGCTCCATTTTTATTTTACTCAATTCATCCCAAAAAAAGTGATTCTTTTGATGGGTTTCTAGTGTTTTAATGATTATTTTAGCACATTTCCTATAGACCAGACGCCCGAGATTTGGGTGACACTCAAGCGATGCTCTCGCTCCCCCGCGCCCTGCGCCCCACACGCACGCAACTCCTTCCCCACGTCGCTCCTCCCTCTCTCTCCCCTCCGGTGGCGGCGGCGAGTTCCAGTGTTGGATTTTCCCCAACATGACCGACATGCACGCGCTCCTTCCCATGTGGCTCCTTCCTCTGTCCCCTTCGATGGTGGCGCCGGGTTTCGGCAGCAGTGGCGGCAGCGGTGATGAGGT